TAATTTTAAATATTTAAACATTTTAAAAAATTTACTAAAATAATTTTACTAACTAAATTTTAAAAAATTTTAGTTAATATTAATCTTAACCTTATTTAAATTTTAACATTTATTTTATATTTTTTAGTATTTTTTTGCTTATAAATTTATAAAAATTATAAATTAATTTTCTTTTTTAAACATACCTCCTAAGAATTCTAAATTTCTTTTTAAAAAAAGAATTCTTTCAAACAACATAGGATTTAAAGAAGTTCTTTTAGAAGTCATAATATTTCCTGCATCACTAAATAATCTTTCTGATGATGTAGATGTTACTGGGATAGTTAAGTATTTTCTTGCCATTTTTGCTAAAACACAATATTCATCTTTGTGAGCATATCACCATAATAAGGGATTAAAATCATATTTAGCTTCAGTAAGAGCTAAATATCTTTCAATTTCTTCAATATTATTTAATAAAGAAAAAGAATTAGATAAAAATGTTTCTTCAAAAATAGAAATTGGTTGGTTATATTGTGATGTTGTTAATGTTTTAGATAAGGTATCTTGTTGATTTTAAAAATCAGTATATAAACTTTGTAAAGTTAATTTTGTTTTTGTATAAATAGATTTACTAATAAATTTTAATTTTTTAGATCTAGGATCAAGTATTGAAGCTATCATTGCTGTATCAGTATCAATTTTCCAATAATGTTTCATTGCTTTATATAAATATAATTTTATATTATCAACAAGTTCATCATTATCAACTGGAATATTAATGCTAATTTTAGAACTTCTAATTTTATCTGTTTCTTTAAAATTTTCTTCTTCTTGTTCAATTATTTCAACTAAATCAAAAACATTAGATTTTATATTAAAATCTATTAATTCTATATTTGATTATAAAATATAAATTTTGCTTTTAATCTTTTCTAAAACAAAATAAATAAAACTTAATATAACATAAGTTTTACTACCTAAATATTCTGTTGCTTGTACAAATGGACAAAGAAGTTCAACTATTTCTTTAATATAATCAAACTCATAATATTCTAGTATCATATTTTTTAAATGTTTATAATTTTTTTTGCTATCAATATCATTACTTTTAGAAAGTAGATAAAGAACAGATTCTATATAATTTTTAATTTTTAAAAGCTTTTCCTAAGCTAAAAATGTACTATTTCATCTAGTTGAAATATTAGCAATAACTCTTAAATATTTATAATTCTTATAAATAATCTAAATAAAAATTTTTAATTATAATTATTTTTAAATTTATATAATTTAAATAGAAAATTAGTAATTCAATAATACTTACATTATTTTCTAAAATATTTAATGTTTTTTGTACTAAAATTAATCTATCATTTTGTTTTGGAGACATAAAAAATTTAATTAGTCTTTTAGTATATGCAATTAAAATTTTTGCTAGAATCAAACCTTTTCCAATAACTAGTTGCAAAGTATAAGCAGCATATGCTATATGATTAATATTAGACAAATTATGAATAGCTTTAACTATATTAGCTCTATTATCAGTTGTAATACTAATAACTTTTTCTTTTAAATTCTACTCATTAATAATATTATTAAGAGTTATTGAAATATTTTACTATTATGTGAATATTCAACTAATTTTAATCCTAATATAATTTCTTGTAATTAAAAATCTTGATCAATCCAATTACAAGTAACTCCAAGATAACCTTCTTTATTTTTTGCAGTTCACATATTACATATTAATCCACAAAATTCTATTTCTTTATTAATTCTTTCTACTAATAATGTTTTTGAATAATTATATCCTTCATGAATTTTTTGCTTAATATATTTCATTGATAGAATTTCATAAGAATTATTTAATGCATAAATAAATTCTTTAAACCACTTACTTTTAACGATATAAAATGATTGAGAATTTCTAACAATAAATTCAACTAAAGCTTGATCTATTTTATTTTTTTTACCCATTTTCATTTCTACTTGTTTAAACATAGAATTAATAGTATTAACTTCTTTAGATTCAATTCTTTGTCCATCTTTAATTATTTCTTTAGTAATTCTATGTTTATTTGAAAGATGTCCTATAAAATTTCCAGTTTCTCCATTTGGTTTAACTTCATGTCCACATTTTTGATTTTTTTCTTTATGTAATACTAAAATATTACAAGTTCCAACAGTTGTAAAATCAGATTGTGCAGGTTTAAGATCATAATATGTCTATACAAAACTTTTTTTTTGTCTTTTAATTGGTTTTTTAATAAAATCAGATAAAATAGAAGTAGCTAATAATGAGATATTAACAGGAACAGATGATGATAAAATATTATTAGAAGAAGATATATCAGATGAAATAGACATAGAAGTTGAGATAAATTCTTTAGAAATAATATCATCTTGTTCATAATTAATAAAATCTTTATGACTTATAAAAGACCTATTATCATTAAGATCATCACAAGTATCTAAAAAATCATCTTCACTAGGTATTGCTGTAGCCATATTAAGAGAAGAATATAGATTTACTGATAAATTTCTAACTGGCCTTTTTGATATATTTATTGAAATATATAGATAAAATATATAGATAAAATATAGAGAAAATATAATATAT